GCTACACCAGAGAGAGATTGATATGCTCCAGATTCCGCTACAATACCTAACGGTCAGCCGGGCCGGCAGCAGTTCGTTGAGTCTAAAAAATGGGAGTGGGGTACGGTAGGCTGGGGGCAAGGAGGGGGAGGGATACGGTAGCCGAGCAGGCAGGCAGGGATGGGAAATATTGGGTGCCATTCACGCGGGTGAACTGAAATGTTCGCCGGGCTGCTCTCTCTCTCTCTCTCTCTCTCTCTCTCTCTCTCTCTGTCTATCTCTTCTCTCTCACTCTCACTCTCTCTCGCTCTCTCTCCCTCGCTCCCTCGCTCTCTCTCGCTCTCTCCTTTTTCTCGCTCTGGGAGCAGCCATTTACACTATGAGCACAAAATTGGCAAATTTCCGGCAAAAGCACAGCTCTCCTAAAGGGCCGTTGAAGACAGGGATTCGGGCGGGCGGGGCACCATGCCGGATCTTACGGTATCGCATCTTTGCGCCGATGCACCGACTGTGAGAGTCGGGGCAGGAAGTGGAAGGACGAGGCGACCAGCTGACGTGTACGCTCCGAAAAGCTGCAAATGACGCACGACACTTATCAGGGGAGTATATATATATACAGTGTCGAGGTGCTGGGGGTACGGTATATGGGGTGTATGGTAGCTGGACACGATAGGTAGAATTTTTAGCATTTTTCTTGTTTTTCACCTCTTTTTTGCCTTTGCAACGTCAAGAATTCCAAGAAATCCTCAAAAATCTCTGCTAGCTAGCCCCTACTAGAGTACGACGACTTCAAGGAGTTGAGGTTTATATGATTTGAATGAACTAGTAAATTCGTAGTTCGTAGACTAAAGTAAATGCGTAAAAATACGGTTAGCCGATCTACGCGGAATTCAACTTTCTCAAGACGTTCAAATAAGCGAAAAATCTCGGCTAACAAGAATTTTTTAAGGTTTTTGGATTTTGCTAACTAACGTCTAAAAACCCTCAAAATTTCTGCTCTACTTGATATGAAACATCCTCAAGGAGTTCAGGTGGTTTGAGGCAGCTAACAAGAACTTTTTAGGACTACGAAAACCTAAATTTCTAACATTAAGCAATCTTCTTTGAAGCCTTTCATTTTGACTCTCTCTCACTCTCTATCTATCTTTCTGCCTCTCTCTCACTCTCTCTCCCTCTCCCTTTCCCTCTCTCGCTCAGTCTTCATTGCCCACGACATTAGGGGATCCCCAGAATTCACGATGCTCCGGACAAATCAACCAAAAAAATGAAAGTGACACGAGCCCCTAGAGTGTGGTGGGTGTGTACGGGCCACGATTCCGGGGGGTGTCTGAGGTTCTAAATGACGACAAAATATTGTGGGTTACGGTAGCAGATCATTTGTAGAACCCACTCGAGGAGGTTGGCGATGGAGGCCTTCATGCTATTGCTGCCGATATGGCGCACGTGGGGCTGGGTACGGTAGTTTTTTCGGCGCGAGGCGGCTAGGCGAAAGACACACTTGGTCATGTCGACTTCTGGAAAATAGAAAAATAAGAAAAATATACTGGCTTCTTCTAGCTGTCTGTCTGTCGGTGTGTCTCTTTCACTCTCGCTCTCTCAATCCCTCGTGTTCTCGCTTTCTTTTAGCTGGAAGCGATTTGTTTATCTACTAAACAGCTTGAACTCGTTGACTATCAGTAGGTTAGTAGGACACTCTCTGTGTGTGTCCCTGCTTGTATTTCTGTTTTACCTCTCTCGATCTCTCTTTCTCTTTCTCTCTTTCTCTCTCTCTCTCTCTCTCTCTCTCTCTCTCTCTCTCGCTGGCTCTCGCTCTCGCTCTTTCTCAACCTACCCATATCCGGGCTCTCCGGCTCAGCGTGCTCGATCGAGAACTGATGCGTGAAGCTATCCCGCACCTTTAAAAATTGACCATAGCTTCCCGCAACTTCAACAAGCTCACCTTCGGCATCGGAAACTCAGAGTCGACTTTCTTCATCCGGACCATCTGGGGTCTCGTCGGGAATTTCTCAAATACCCGTAATCGCCATGGTAATGTTGAGCGCATCTCGGTAGTCTGAGATACAGTATTACAGGGTTACGGTAGACTTACCGCTTCTCTGGCCTTCAACTGCTTGACCCTCTTCAGCTCCTCGTCCATCTCGAGGTTGTCGAGGATGACGGCGACGAACAGGGAGAGCACAATCTGAAGAGAGACAGGGATAGAGAGAGAGAGAGGGAGGGAGAGGGGTATTCACTTACCAGGGTCACGAACAGGTGATAGGCGACAAAGTAGATGGCCACGAAGGGGACGACGCCGTCAGGGGTGGCACGGAGAACCTGGGATTTTTCTTTTCTTCCGTTTTTCTCTCTTCTCTCTCTCTCTCTCTCTCACTCTCTGGTTAGCCTGCCCTCCTTGAACTTGTCGCCTACCTCGACCACAAAATCCGTCCATCCCTCCTGTGTTATAATCTGGAACATCGACATGAACGCCTTGGGGAACGTGTGAAAGTGGTCAAGGTGGGGCACCGAGTTGAACAACTGCAACGAGATGGCCGAGGCGATGATAACAAAAGTGATGGTGAAAATGACCAATCCGCCGAGCTTCTTGCCGGGGCTGAAGATCTACAAAAAAGGTTTCTCTATCACTTTCCGAGTGGCACACCAATGGCAAGCTAGCAAAGACCTTTTGGGGATTCGCTACCCACCTTCCACACAAAATCCTCCAATATCGGCGAGGCTTTGATGAGGCGAAGCAGGCGGAAGGCTTGAAAGTAGGTGAAGTAGTTCCGATCATAGAAGTACGGGATCAGGTTGAGGGAACTGCCGATGCACAGGATCAACTCGAACCTGCAAAATAAATATTATGAGATTTCCGGTAAAGGATTTTTTCCAAAATTTCCAACCATCGGAAAGTCAGCTTGATTTTGACCCGATATTGCTTCCCAGGCCCTTAAAATTCAGATAACCCTACTTGAAGATGCCCCTCTTGATAAAAGGGCCCCAGCTGAAGCACAAGATTTTCGACAGGCACTCGATGTTGAACAGGATCGTGAAGCCGATCTGAAAAGGCTTTCTATCTCTCTCTCTCTCTCTCTCTCTCTCTCTCTCTCTCTCTAGTGCTCTCTCTCACTCTCTCTCCTTCTGTAATTTTGTTTGGCTCTAGCTTCTAAGCTACATCTGACAAGAACTGCTTGAACTCCTCGCCCAGCTCCTGATCAATGGCTTTCAGCTCCCCGCTCTCTCGCTCTCTCTCGCTCTCTCTCCTCCCTGTTTTTCTCCCTATCAAGAACTGCTTGAACTCGTCGCCAACCAACCGACTCACCTCAATATACCAGTAATATCTCCTCCTGACCCTGTCCGACTCGTCGTGTTTGTGGACAAACGACGCGTTGATGACGGCGTTGATGAGCACGAAGAAGATGACCAACCCTTGGAAGGCCATCGAGCGCAGGAACTGAATGGAATTCGTGCTTTTCAGCCAGATTCCGCTTGTGGACAGTGCTGAAATTGTGGGAGAAGGGCGTCTGGGTAGGGGGAAGCGTAGAAAAAAAGAGGGCGTGGATTCGATTACGAGAGGAATTCTTGAATCAGTGAAATCTGTGGAATCCACGTCCTCTTTTTGGAACATTAGGTAGAAGTAGCTGCATGGATCTCCTCCCTGGGCTCCCGTTTGGGTTTCTTGGCTTGGCTGGCTTAGGCCAGGGCTTAGTGCGCCTAGGCTTAAGGTAGGCCTAGGCTTCGGTTTAGCTTAGGCTTAGCTTAGGCTTAGGTTTGGCTTAGGCTTCGCTTTAAGGAGCCAAAGAACCCAAAATGAGAGCCCGTGGAGGAGCCACAGTGGGCCCGATTTGCATTTTGTTGGCACTCACTATCCGCGGGGCAAGCTCGTCGCGAACGTAGGATATTGAGAACTGAAAATGGGTGGGCGCATTAATGGTAGGTGGGTGGAGCATAGGTAAAAAAAACAGAACAGACTGTACCGCTTGAAGTTTTTGCTTGCGTCCCTCCAACGCCAGCTCGTCGTCCATGCGGATTAGTCGAAGGCCGTCTTCGGTTTTTTCGAGCTTCTGAAAGCGACAGAGTGGATAAGAGAGGGAGCGAGAGAGAGAGAGGAGAGAGAGAGAGAGAGAGAGAGAGAGAGAGAGAGAGAGAGAGAATGAACGCGAAAGTGATAGCCAATACCTGCTTGAAGCCGTCATCCACCGTCACCTCCTTCTTCTGCCACATTTCACTGAACTGCACGCGGATCTCGGCGAACGTCTCGGTGATGACGGCGATGAACACGTTCTGGAAATCGTGATTTTTAAGTTCCGAGGTCCCTTTAGAATTTTCCTCCCAGCTGTCACAACCCCTTCCAATTTCGCCCACCCACCTTGACCAGCCATGCCAAGAAGAAGATGAGGGTGAGGAAGTAGATGAACGCCAGATGGGAAGGCAGCGAATCCATACAGTCGTAGAGGACGTACACCCAGCCCTCCTCTGATGCTGCCAGGTAGACGGTAAAGACGGATGCGCCTAGAATTGAGTAGTTGGACGAGTTCGAACTCTCTCTCTCTCTCTCTCTCCCCTCTCTCTCTCTCTCTCTCTCCCTCTCTCTCTCTTCACCCACCAAAATCGTTAAACATTCCGTAGAACCCTTCCGTCTTCGCGTCCATATTCAGCCGCATGCAGACCATCGGCGCCGGGCATTCATAGCCGCCTGGAATTTTGGGTTGGCTTTTCAGGCTTGGGCTTAGTTTCACTTGGTATCATCTTAAGTTGGCGCCAGGCTCAGCTTTTGGCTTTGTTGGGCCTAAGCTCAGCCTAAGCCTGTTTCAAATTAAATTTCACGAAAATTAGGCGCCGCGCACCTCCTCCCGGCTGACTGCACATCGTGTCCGGAATGGCCAGGTCGGCGATTGTCACATTGTTCGGGTCGGTGGCTGAATGATAACCGGATAGGTTTTCTTAAATTCCTTACTGTCTAAAACACAGTGATAATCCATTCGGCCGAACAATTGAATGCCCATAATCGCATAGAAAGCCATGAAGAACACGAAGAATACTGTCACGTTTTGCACCTGTTGCGAGGAGCGTCTGGAAAAATTCGGGGTTTTCGGTTTCGTGAATTGTCTCTGCTAGCTCGCCTAAATGGTCTTTGCTGGGTCTCCTCAATGGTCTATGCTGAGTTCCCTAAACGGTCTCTGCTGCACCCCCAATAGCTTTTGCTAGCGTTCTCCAGTGGTCTCTGCTAGCCCTCCCAAAGGATCTGATCGCTCTCCCCAATGGTCTCTGCTATCACTCCTCAACGGTCACTACAAACCTCCTCAATGGTATCTGCTAACTTGTCCACCGTTTTTTTGCTCGAAACTGAGCAATTATTTTTATTAAAAACCTACTTTAACAATTGCTCGATGCGATGCTTGGGCAGCTTGAAGTTGATGATCAGCCTCAACAGTCGGATGATGATAAACGGGCGAACGGAACGGACAACGGCCAAGGTATCATGGTACGGCAGTCCGAGGTGAGGTAGATGATCTCCTAAACAGATTCATTTTTAAGGTACTACGACAAAATCATTTTTAGAAGTCATGTTTCGAAAATCATTTTCCGAATTTCGTGTGTTTCCAAACATTTAATGCATGGAAATCATACCGAGGATACGGTAGGAATGGAGTGTCCAGGACAGCCAATGGGAGAACAGCATAAACACGTCGAACTGGGCCCAGCGGTTGACGAGAAGGGAATCGCTGTCCTGGAATGGGGGGCAAGCTAGCAGGGTTTATTGGCTAGCCGAGATCCCGGAGGAACCCCGGGGAACAAACAGAAAGCGAGAGAGAGAGAGAGAGAGAGGGAGAGAGAGAGAGAGAGGGAGAGAGGGAGGGAGAGAGAGAGAGAGAGAAGCAATCAAATCTCTTACCCGATAGAATCCATCCCGAAACGCCCTCGCCAAGATGTCAGCAGTGAATATGAGCACGCATATGCCATCAATGGCCCAGACAACATATCCAAGGGGCCACCAGACGGCCAGTGTCTGGGGAGTGTGGATGCATACTGTGGCAGGGGTCATTTTCTAGGTTTTGTGCTAACCTGTAAATAAGAGAGAGGATGCAGACGGTCTTTAGGGCCGTCTCCACGTAGACATTATCGAGGTAATCTGAAATTTTTGTCATTTTCTAGCGCAGTAAAAATACAAGAGTCCAGAGCCCGGTAAAAGCCGCCTATTAACGGGTGGCACGCGCGGTTAATCCATGGACTACGCACGGCTCCTCTTTACATACCTTTATTTGCCGGCCGTTTTGGGGTATTTGTGAGCATATCTGATATGATGGCGATACTTTCCCTAGGTGCAAACTGCGTGCCACCGATTCTGAAATTGGGAGATATTAGAGAGAGAGAGAGTGAGAGAAAGAAAGACTATCTGCACTACCTTGTTGAAGAGTTCTTCCTGGCTAGCATCGCCGACGACAGGACGGCCGCCTTGGCCACTGAAAAAAAATTATATATCAGAATTTGCCTTTTCAATCCCTTTAATCCGGCTAACTGGCTGATCCAAAGTATTTTAATACCATAATTATACCTTTTTATAAAACGACAAATTACCATATTGCTCACCATTTTTCTGGCCTTAAAATCGGCTTAATTTATAGGTTTTATAGATTTTCTAGCCTTTCAATTCTAGCAATACAAGACTAGAATCGTGACATTATTCTTGGAGGGATAGCCGGGAAGTAGTGGTGGTGTGTGTGATGGACACCTCTTCTGCCGCTTCAAAGTGAGGGGCCCAAAAGGGGGCCCACTCACCCACAAATGGCCATTTCGATTAGAGGGGGGAAGAGGAGGGCCATCTCTCTCTCTCTCTCTCTCTCTCTCTCTCTCTCTCTCACTCTGGCTCTCCCTCTCTCTGACCGACGAACAGACAAAACCTAAACGATTGTGCGGCGTACACCCCGAAAAACCCACTTCTCCACCAGCTTCACCCCGGGAAAAGTTAATGAAATTCCAACGCCTCGTGGCGGTCTCTCTCTCTCTCTCTCTCTCTCTCTCTCTCTCTCTTTCTCATGCTCTTTCTCTCGCTCCGATTTTAACTGGCCCATCCCACTAAATGGGGCACTTTGGGCTGAGCGGTGAGGGTGGCTACGATTTTTGGACTAGTGCGGTTTTCATGGGACCGGTCATACGAAATATCCACAACTGACAAACCGTCGCTGCTAGCCAGCCAAGATTGCCTGACCATTCCCCAATGATCTCTGCAAAGTAATCCAAAGAACTCTACTTTTGCATCATCGGGGGGGGGGGGGGGGGCATTTTTGTAAAAGGCTAGATAACGAAATAATAAGGATTATAACGATATTTTAGTAAAATCTACTATATATCGGATGGAAAACTATAACTTAGAAAATTTAAAAATTCGAACTGGGTCGTGGTATGGTTGGCATAAAAAATATATTCTGCCAGTTTTGAGGTGAATGCCGATAAAATTGCTGAAATTTACCTCATTTGAGCCCAAAAATCACAAAAAAATATAGCAGCAATTTTTTTAAAAGTTTTGCGCGTGGAGCGATAGAATCGAAGGGAATGGAAAGGGCGCTTTGGGTATGCGGGGGGCCATGCGAGGCCATAGGAAGGGGGACACTTCACTCCAACCCCCTGAAATATGGGCCCATCTCGGCCGACTACGCCAGCCACCTATCGACAATCACGCCCTCCGTACGAAAAGGGAAATTCGGGTTTTTAAAGGAAAGTTTTAAAGTTGGAAATGTCTAATTTTTCACGTAAAAAATCCCGAAATCCTCAAATACTTTTGGGAAAAATGCCGACATATTCAAATTTTGACATGCGAAAGAAATGTCGATATTTTGAATTTTCGGCATTCTGAAATTTCGACAGTCCCAAATTTCGGTACCGCGATTTTCGAAATTAGCAATGTCGGCATAATGAAGCTTCGACATTTCCAAATATTCCCCCAAAGGGACAAACTACTTAACGCCCTCAACCTGTCGAAATGCCGGTGCGGTAGATGGACGACGTCTGCGACGAGTGCCGATGGCGTTTCATGTCAAACTTCAGCTCAATCTTCTTCAGGTCGAACGGTATCGTGGAGATCATTATTTGGGGGGCATGAATTAGCAAAAAAATGGGGGAGGTATGGATTTTTGAGAGGCGAGCCTGGGGGAAGGGCTTTTTCGGTCGGCTCATCGCTATAGACCCCCCATGGGCTGTTGAATCGAATTATAAGGGGGGTAGAGATATTCCGTGAATGCCCCCAGGGGATGAATGCCCCCTTTTTTCTCTATCACTCCTCATTGCCCCAAAAAGACAAATTATTCGGGAGCCCGAAATAAAAATAGTTCTTTGCAAATTCGATTTTTTGGAGTTTAAAGACTACCAGAACGATGGAACGCGCACTGTCACCCCGAGGGTGCTGTCCCCAAGAACGCGCAGAGTGGGTCGTCATTAGTGGTGTCCCGTATTGGGCAAAGACCCTCTGGGGTTTGGGGCGCCTCTGACTCCCTTCCCCACTTGGCCCTGTGGTATAGTGGCTAGCGCGTCGGACTGTGGAGCGAACCATCGCGGGTTCGACCCCGCCCGGTGCGCAACTTTCTTGCTCTAAACGATATTTCATCGCTCTGACGGTCTTTAAAGGGGCTGGGACTGGGGGAAATTCGATGCTGGTAAGCGACGCAACGTGGAAAGGAAACAGGCAGTACTTTTCTGCACGAGTTCTAGTAATGACCCTGACAGCCAAAATCGGAACTTTTATGTCGGGATTATGGTTGTCGTTGTTTTCGCTGTCGGCATTTTGCCCGACGGACATATGCCGGTCGGCATTTTTCTGTCTGGATTAGGGCTGTCGGGATTTCTGCGTTTTCTTTTACGTAATATTCTGTCCGCACTAGTTTAATTTTTGAGAAATTTCCAAAATTGTTACCTTTAAAGGGGTTGGGACACGTCAAAGATCCGAATTTTTCATAAATTGCTGTATTTTCTCGTTTGAAAGGGACTGTATGAGGTGTTTATGAGCGCATGCGACGTAGCCAAAAATTTCAAAAAAATTTACTTTTTCATAAGTACTTCGAATAAGGTTTTTTAAAGGTACTGATAAGCAGATGGGCAGAGTCTTTTTCCGCATTAAAAAAATATAATTTTTCTCTCGGCTTTTAAAGGTAATATGAAGTGAAAAATCCAGGCTGTACATTAAGAGGAATCAAGATTTAGAGGTAAAAATTAAAGATTTCGCGCTTAAGGGATGGGCATTGATTCATTCAGGAACAACAAAGGACCCGTCTAAGAGCCGAGTTTCTCGTATCAAAACGGGGTACCGTAGATTTGGAGGCGTCAGCGATCCTACGTATGCAAATTAACCGACCGGGATTAATGAACGGCAGCAACAGCAGTCCAATCTCAACCCCCGACATCGGGTTGCTCTTTCCCCCACCATATCGGGGGTCAATCCCAATTTCCAGA